TGTTTCGTCAGCGCTTCGGCCCGTCGCACGACCTCCCGGACTGGCACAGTTTGCTTAGTCGTAGAGTTCAGATTTTTGACATGGACATTGATGCCATTGTTGCTGCCCTGCATGTGATGTATGTTGATGACTCTAGTGTGCTACCCTCTTATTACTCCTTGTCACCTAGTGTAGGTGTGCCTAGCTTAGCCTCCCCTGCTGCGTCAGACGTAGGAGCTCCTGCCTTGTTGCCTCCGTCGTTGCCCAGTCGCCAGACGCCACTGCTGCGCTTTCCTTCACCTTGGACGCTGGCGCTTCCCGGTGTTTCTTCCGCGACTCTACTACGCTGACGCCGCTTCCTGTTCCTGCTGCAGTTTCCCTTGCTGACCCCTCCGGCGGTCCAGTTGTCGCCCGCAGTTCCACTACACTTCCCTGTCCGGCGGTTCCTTCGGGCTCCCTCACAGGTCTGCATATCCCCTCGTTCTCCAGCAAACTAGTTGGTGTCGGCTGCCTCCAGGACCTTGGCGTCACCACTACGTTCCCTGGTCACAAGCGGTATGCTGTCTGTACCGAGGCCGCCACTGGTGCCCCCCTTTCCACGTTCCCCCGGGACCCGGTATCCGGCCTGTTCACTATGGACACCGTGCCCCCCCCCGGGTGGGGCGCCCCCTCAGGTGGCTGCGTCTTCCCATGTTGCTGCTGCCTGCTCCTGTCGGTCCCTCACTCACCAGTCTTTTCTTTGGCACCACCGCCTAGGTCACCCTGCGCTCCCGCGTCTGCGTCACATGTCCCAGCACGGTCTCGTCCTTGGACTCCCTGGTTCGTTTCCCGCTTTTCCCTCCTCCCCCGCCCCACAGTGCACGCTTTGTGTCGAGGGTCGGCTTCGCCATGCCCCTCACTCCTCCTCATTTCCCCCTACCACCGCGCCGCTGCAGACCCTGCACATGGACGTCTGGGGCCCCGCCCCCGTCCATGGGCCGCGTCGAGAGCGCTACTTCTTCGTGCTTGTCGACGACTTCACTCGCTACACCACAGTTTTTCCCCTGGAGCGAAAGGCCGACGTGCCTGACGCTCTCATCCCCTGGCTAGTCTTTGCGCGTGTCCACCGAGGTCTCCCTGTCTTGCGTCTTCACTCAGACCGTGGTGGCGAGTTTGCCTCAGGTGTCCTTGGTCGCTTCTGTCGTGCGGAGGGCATCACCCAGACGTTCACCCTGCCAGACTGCCCACAGCATAATGGGGTCGCTGAGCGATGCATCGGTTTGGTCATGGAGGTGGCTCGCACCTCCATGATCCATGTCGGTGCACCCCATTTTCTGTGGCCGTTCGCCGTGCGCTACGCTGCTCACCAGCTTAACCTGTGGCCGCACCCCCAGCGGCCGCAGGTTTTGCCGACCCTTCTTTGGACCGGGTCTCCTGGTGACACGTCAGCGTTCCACGTCTGGGGCTGCCTTGCTCACGTTCGTGCCTCCGGCACAGACAAGCTCACTGCCCGCACCCTTCCCTGTGTCTTCCTCGGTTTCCCCCTTGACGCGTCCGACTGGCACTTCTACCACCCGCCGTGTCACCGGTTCTTTCACTCTCGCGCCGTCACATTTGACAAGTCCGTCTCCTTCTACCGTCGCTTCCCCCACCGTGGTCCCCCTGTTACTCCCCCCCTGTTCTTGGTCACTCCTTCCCTGGTGGTCCCTGCCCCCCCACCTCCCCCTCCCCGTCCTGCCCCCTCTGGTGTGTCCTACGTCACCCCTCTCCCGTCGGTTGTCCCGGTCGAGGAGTCTTCTGACTCTGGTGGTCCTGCGGCGCAGTCCTCGCCGTCTGCCCCTCCCCCGATGTCTCCTCCTCCACCGCCTCTGCAGCCACCGTCGCCTCTGCTGTCGCAGCCGTCGTCTCCGCCGCCGCCGTCGCAGCAGCAGTTCGTCGACTCTGGGGGTGCTCGTGTTGGGGTGGGGCTAGTCCTGGGGTTCTTGTCGTGGCCTATCCCGGTGGCCCTGGGGGTGGTACCGGTGCTCGAGGGGTTTCGGGCTCTGGGGGTGTTCCTTCTGGGGGTGCAGGAGTGGAGTGTCCCGGAGGTAGCCGAGGAGCAGCTTGCGGTACCGGTATCGCTAGTGTGCCCCGCAGCAGCAGTCCCCGCCGGTGTCCGCCCTTTGCCTGCTCGGCCTTCTGTCCCCTGACCCTGCGGCTGTTCCTCTCCTGCCATCTCCTCCTCCTCCTGTCTACAGCCCTGTGTTCCCTCCGCCGGACTCGTCCCCGGGTCATCTTCCTCCTCGCTCCCCTCTTGTGTCCCCTCCTCTGTCTCCTGGCCCGACGCCTCCGTCTCATGTCTGGTCCCGCCGTCCCTCCCGCGCTCGTCCTGTCTCCCCTGTCACGCGCTCTCATCCTATGTTGCTCCGTTCCCACGCGTCTCGTCCTCCCCTTCTACCGTCGCCTCCTCCGTCCTCTCTTACCGTTGCGCTTCCTCCTCTGTCTGACTACCTTCGTGCCGCTCGTCCTCTTGTTCCTCGGGTCCTCACCTCTCTCATTACCGACCCGTCCGTTCCGGTCTCGTGTCTTGATGCTCTTGTCGCTGCGGTCGCTGACTTCGCCTCTACCTGCAGCCTTGACTATGCCACCGCTCTGGTCTCTGACCCTGCCTGTCCTCCGTCTGTCGGGGGTGCTCCTGCCCTCGGCAGTGACGCCCTGGAGGACCGCCAGTTCGAGCTTGCTTTCCTGTCCGAGGCTGCTCCCCATCTCTGTTCCATGCTGCTAGTCCCTGAGGGTGACCCAGACTCTTTCGACATCCCGACCCCTTGCACTTACGCTGAGGCGACCTCAGGTCCCTGGGCCTCTCAGTGGATAGCTGCCATGGAGCAGGAGATGGCATCTTGGAGATCCACCGGCACCTACGTTGACGCAGTTCCCCCACCTGGGGTGAACGTAGTCGATGGCCGCTGGCTCTTCAAGGTGAAGCGCCCTCCTGAAGAGCCGACTGTGTTCAAGGCGCGCTACGTGGCTAGAGGCTTTAGTCAGCGTGAGGGGTGGACTTCTTCCAGACCTTCGCTCCGACCCCGAAGATGACTACTCTTCGGGTGCTGCTACACGTAGCTGCTCAGCGTGACTACGAGCTTTACTCCCTCGACTTCTCCACTGCGTTCCTTCAGGGCAGCCTACACGAGCAGGTCTACCTGCGTCGCCCTCAGGGGTTCACTGGCACCTTCCCTCCTGGGACCCAGTGGCTCCTGCGGCGTCCCGTCTACGGCCTGCGGCAGGCTCCCCGTGAGTGGCACGACACGCTGCGTGCTACCCTTGCTGACCTGCAGTTCTTTCCGTCCTCCGCAGACCCCTCACTCTCATTCGTGCTGGCCAGACTCCGCTCTACATCCTCGTTTACGTGGATGATCAGGTCTTTGCCACAGCAGACACGGACGCACTGGCCTCCGTAAAGGCATAGCTGCTGAAGAGACACACTTGCACTGACCTTGGAGAACTGCGCCGTTACCTTGGTTTGCAGATCTCCAGGGATAGAGCTGCGCGCACCATCACTTTGACTCAGTCACACTTGGTCCGCCAGGTCCTTCAGAGGTTCGGCCTTCAGTTCTCCTCTACACAGCCCACCCCTCTGCCTGTAGACCACAGACTCTCCGCTCCAGTTCCTGAGGAGTCAGTAGATCCCAGTGGCCCTGGTGGGTTGCCTCTTGTACCTGATGACTTGCACTCGCCCAGATCTTGCATACCCTCTCAGCATCCTGGCTCGCTTTGTGGCCACAGGTAGACACCGACCTCAACACAGGTCTGCCGCTAAGAGGGTTTTGCGTTATCTCGCAAGTACATCGGGCATGGGGTTAGTGCTAGGAGGACGCAGGCCAGTCGTCCTTACCGGACACTCAGACGCTTCTTGGCGGACGACGCCGAGACGCTCAGGTCTTCCCAGGGCTACTGCTTCAGCCTTGGTTCAGGTGCCGTCTCTTGGAGAGCTACCGCTCCTCGTCTATTGCCCAGTCTAGCTGTGGGGCTGAGATCTACGCCGGTGCCATGGCGGCACAGGAGCTCCGCTGGCTGACCATCTTGCTCACTGACTTAGGTGAGCGGCCTAGCTCTGCCCCGGTCCTGTACGCTGACAACAGGGCCATGATCCTCCTGTGTCAAGAGCCTCGACTAGAGGGCAGAGCGAAGCATATCCAGCTGCGGTACTTCCTCCTGCGCGAGCTACAGCAGCGCCGCCAGGCTCGCGTAGTACACTTGGCCTCAGGTGCCAAGACAGCTGATATCTTTACAAAGGCGCTTGCGCCTAAAGATCATCAGCGGCACTGTATACAGCTCGGTGTAGTTCCTGTAGCCCTCACTTGCTAGGGCCTTGACTTTGTACTGTCCTTTATATATATTTACTCAGACTGGACTTGTGTCCTCTCCTTGTGGCTGGACTAGTAGTGCCGCTCTGGTCTTGTTCTTGCCTTGTCTGTACTCCTTGTCAATAAATCCCAGTGGCCCTTATCTCAGTGGCTGGACTAGTAGTGCCGCCCTGAGCTGCTTGTTCAGGAACTGCCCCTATGCAGTCTAGGGGGTGTGTCAAACATTTGTATCTCTAATGTTTGTATAGACTGTATAGGGTCGCCTCTTAGAGAGTACAACCCTTAGACATATATCCTTGTACCCATGTTCGCTATTCATTCGATTGTTCAGTTCGAAGACCTGTAGCCTCACTTGCTAGGGCCTTGATTGTGTATAGAACTTTATATATATTACCCTGAGTGGCCTTGTGGCCTCTTCCCAGTGGTTGGACTAGTAGTGCCACCCTGGTCTTGCTCTTGTCTTGTCTGTACTTGTTTGACTTTTCTTTAGACCCCTGCCTCAGAGGCTGGACTATTAGTACCACCCTGAGCTGTTTCTCTCTCATCGAGCACTGCCCCTATCCAGTTTAGGGGGTGTGTCAAATACTTACTGTATGTTTTTGTAGGCTAATTAGGGTTGTACCTTAAGGAGTACAACCCATTAGGTTATATTCCCTTTTGTGCCTTGTTCTAGCCATTCGTTCACTTGAACAGGTGGTTGATTGTGTGTGCTTTTTATTACCATATCAGGGACTTCCTACAGATCGTTCTAACTCATCAGTAATGAAAAACAAATGACTTTATGGCAGGACTCAGCAGCACACCAGTTGGAAGAACACAAGAAAGGCGATAGGTTGCTCAGCTTCTCCATTGCGTGGACTGCTCTTGCTCCGACTTCTCTTCCCACCACGTTGTGGTCTGCACACAATGGAAGGTGCAACGTCAGCACAGCACAATGATGCCACACACACAGATTCCAAAGCCAGCACTTCTCAAAGCACGAATGCCCTCTCCTTATACTCCCTGGCTCCAATATACCTCTGCACCCCCTGAACCATATACCGTAACCCCCCGCATATATCACCCTAGGGACTCCTGGAAAATTCAATCAATTTTTTGTGATGTGCGTTTATACGGCTGGAAATAGTGAAGAGCACTTAGTGATGAGCACTTAGTAAACAGTGAACCGTCAAAAGGGGGTCGTAAAATGACTAATACCAAAATGGGGGTCCTCACAGATTCTGTCAAAATAAGCGTCCCAGTGTCCGTCCAAAGGACCCATGGACTGCTATTCCGGTGGGTGATATATGCGGGGGGTTACGGTACCTCTGCACCCCCTGAACCATCACCCTCTGCTGCGCCTCACCTGGTAACCCTGTCCTCACTCCTGCCCCTGCAGGACCTTTCATTCCCCTTGTAGCATCACTCCTGCCCCTGCAGCCCGTCTCAGTCAAGCACATGCAAGCGTTGGGCCTTGCACCCTTGCTTCTCACCTTGCACCCCTCCTCGTGCCTCACCTTGTACCCGCGTCTGAGGAACGGCACGGTGGAGCCCTCCTCTCCTTCCAGCGCTGCCACCCTCACCTCAAGTCTTGCTCCTTCTCACCCTGCACGCCGCTTTAATTCCCCATCTAGCACACATCCCTCCCCCCTCACCTTGTACCCCCGCCGCAGGAACTGCATGGTGGACCCCTCCTCGTCTTCCAGCCCCAACGACCGCTGCAGCTCCTCCTTCACCTGGGGGTGGAGCGGGATGGGGTGGGATGGGGTGGGGTGCGGTGGGGTGGGGTGGGGTGGGGTGGGGAACATGGGCGGGCGGGGCAACAGCCGCAGGAAGAGTGCTCAGTGGGGTGTCGAAGAACCCAGTGACCACTGAAAGCTCCTCCTCCACTTGGGTTTGGGAGGGGCCGGGGTGGAGGGAGACGGGGGTGGGGGAGAAGTCGGTGAGGGGAGGGGGAAACCAATGCAGGGAGTGAGGTTTGAGACACCTGAACGCACCCAGCGACTGCTGCACATCCGTCTTCACCTCTGCATGGGAGGGGGAAGTCGGGCCGCGGCAAGGGGGGAAATCTTTCAGCGGGAGGCACACGGGCAGGGAGAGTGAGTTGAGGCACACACGGGCAGGGAGAGTGAGTTGAGGCACACACAGGCAGGGAGAGTGAGTTGAGGCACACGGACAGGGAGAGTGAGTTGAGGCACACACGGGCAGGGAGAGTGAGTTGAGGCACACACGGGCAGGGAGAGTGAGTTGAGGCACACGGGCAGGGAGAGTGAGTTGAGGCACACAGGGGCAGGGAGAGTGAGTTGAGGCACACACGGGCAGGGAGAGTGAGTTGAGGCACACACGGGCAGGGAGAGTGAGTTGAGGCACACGGGCAGGGAGAGTGAGTTGAGGCACACAGGGGCAGGGAGAGTGAGTTGAGGCACACACGGGCAGGGAGAGTGAGTTGAGGCACACACGGGCAGGGAGAGTGAGTTGAGGCACACAGGGGCAGGGAGAGTGAGTTGAGGCACACACGGGCAGGGAGAGTGAGTTGAGGCACACACGGGCAGGGAGAGTGAGTTGAGGCACACACGGGCAGGGAGAGTGGTTTGAGGCACACAGGGGCAGGGAGAGTGGTTTGAGGCACACAGGGGCAGGGAGAGTGGTTTGAGGCACACAGGGGCAGGGAGAGTGGTTTGATTGAGGCACACAGGGCCAAGAGCACCAACGGCCATGCAGCACTGGCTGCCATGCAGCGCTGGAGGCCATGCAGCGCCGAAAGCCATGCAGCACTGGCTGGCGGCCATGCCGATCAAAGTGCTCTTCGAATGTGCGCAGCTCACCTCTCCCAGGGCAAATCGCTGCGGGCCCTCCGCCACACACACGTAGGAGCCGGTGCGCTCCTGCTTCAGCATCACCTGCCAGGGCGCTGCGACATGACGGGGCGGGGGGCGAGGAGGGGTTGGGGAGGTTAGGAGAGGGGAGACGAGGGATGCAAGGGATGCAAGGGATGCAAGGGATGCAAGGGATGCAAGGGATGCAAGGGATGCAAGGGATGCGACAGTGGATTGAGCGTGTGCACTCCCAGACACACGCACGCACGCACATAGAACCGGTTGTACTCATGCTTCAGCATCACTTGCCACGGCGCGTAGAGAAGGGAGGGTGGGGGGGATGGGGGGGGGGGGGGGTAGTAAGGGAGGAGAAAGAGGATTGCAGGCTTACACATTGAGGCACACATGTATGGTCCATTGGGGACTGAGAGAGGAGGCGGGAGAGGAAGGAAAGAGGACTGCACACATGCACGCTCAGGCGCATTCATGCCCCATCACACAAACACACATGCACGCATGGTGCACGTGGGCTGGTGCAGGTTATGGTGCATGGTGCTTGTTAGATATGGGTAGTTTTTATCGCTATGGACTTGGAGTGATGGCAGAGCGCATGCCAACAGGGGTCACATGTGTATGGGGTGGGGAGGAACCCTTCCATATCCCTCCACGTCGGGAACACGTCAACCGGGATAGAATGTGTGCACTGGGTGCGATCCAGTGAATGCATACCTGGGTACATTCTGAAGAGCGCTCCACTGTAGTTTAGAATAAACGGGGCTACAGCCACACTCTGATTGGTTTGATTGGAGTCAGCAGGGCCACGCCAGCAGGGCCACGCAGCAGGGCCACGCCAGCAGGGCCACATCAGCAGGGCCACGTCAGCAGAGTCACGTCAGCACAGCCGTATGGGGCAAGGGAAGGAGAGAGAGAAGAGGGGTAAGAATAAAAGCAGGGTAAACTGGAGAACTGGGGGTTGGGAGGGGTTGCTGTGATCTGTAGTGGTTTGATGGTAGATGACACGGTGGGTGGAAGCGGAGAGAAAGAGCAGGGCAGGCACGGGCAGCTGGTAACGCCATGGGCAGCTGGTAACGCCATGGGCAGCTGGTAACGCCATGGGCAGCTGGTAATGGCATGGGCAGCTGGTAACACATGGTTTTCTTTGCACACCTTGGCAGCTATCCGCACCCGGGAGTACCCAATCCGTACCTTGGAGTAGTCGCGTGTGCGGAGGTAGAAGACAGGGAGGAACTGCGCGAGGAAGCGGTAGTGCAGGTCCTTGGGGGGGAAGCCCAGCAGCCCCAGGTCGGCTCTGAAGGGAGGGGAGGGGAGGACGAGAGGAGGGGAGGAGGGCAATAGTTGAGTGTCAAGGCAGGGATCTAGAGAGAGGGAGATGTAGCGCAAGTGCTTGGGTTGGGATGGGTTGGGATGGGCTTGTAAGAAGCACAGCAGTGAGAAGCAGAGGAAGGGCAGGAGGTGCTTTGGGGGGCGCAAAGGAGGCCGAGATCGGCCCTGAGGGGAAGGGGAGAAGGGAGTGCAGCAGACGCTGGGAGTTTAGGGAGGGATGGGAGAGTTGAAGGGGTGATGAGATCCCTGGGGCACACAAGGGGTTGCATGGGCAAAAGGTGCAGAGGGTTCTGAGTTGAAGAAAACAGGGGGGAAAAAAAGGGTGGGTGTAGAGACTGCTAACGGGATTTCAGAGGAAGATGGCCGGTTGACTTTTAAGTACTGTTTCTTGTTCGATTGGTGTTACATAAACGTCTCTCTCTGCCTGCTTGCGCAAGTGCATCTGCTGGTTTCTCCTGGCTGTTTTGCAATCACCTGAGGGTGTCGAGCTCCAGGTTGAACAGCAGCACTGGAGTGCCAGCAGGGAGCTTCTCCTGCAGGGGGGACGTGGGCGAGGTGGGGGGGGAGGGGCCGGTGGGGGAGACGCGGGGAAGGCGGGAGGGGAATGCGGGAGGGGAATGCGGGGGGGAATGCGGGAGGGGCATGCGGGAGGGGCATGCGGGAGGAGCATGCAGGAGGGGCATGCGGGAGGGGCATGCAGGAGGGGAAGGTTTTGGAGCACAGCTGACGGGAGGGGGGTGAGTGAGAGCAGATAGAGATAAACCCACGGCAGCCCAGCAGGAGTGGGGGGAGCCAGCAGGGGGGGGGGAGCCCAGCAGGAGTGGGGGGAGCCCAGCAGGAGTGGGGGGAGCCCAGCAGGAGTGGGGGGAGCCCAGCAGGAGTGGGGGGAGCCCAGCAGGAGTGGGGGGAGCCCAGCAGGAGTGGGGGGAGCCCAGCAGGAGTGGGGGGAGCCCAGCAGGAGTGGGGGGAGCCCAGCAGGATGGGGGAGCCCAGCAGGAGTGGGGGGGAGCCCAGCAGGAGTGGGGGGAGCCCAGCAGGAGTGGGGGGAGCCCAGCAGGAGTGGGGGGAGCCCAGCAGGAGTGGGGGGAGCCCAGCAGGAGTGGGGGGAGCCCAGCAGGAGTGGGGGGAGCCCAGCAGGAGTGGGGGGAGCCCAGCAGGAGTGGGGGGAGCCCAGCAGGAGTGGGGGAGCCCAGCAGGAGTGGGGGGAGCCCAGCAGGAGTGGGGGGAGCCCAGCAGGAGTGGGGGGAGCCCAGCAGGAGTGGGGGGAGCCCAGCAGGAGTGGGGGGAGCCCAGCAGGAGTGGGGGGAGCCCAGCAGGAGTGGGGGGAGCCCAGCAGGAGTGGGGGGAGCCCAGCAGGAGTGGGGGGGAGCCCAGCAGGAGTGGGGGGAGCCCAGCAGGAGTGGGGGGAGCCCAGCAGGAGTGGGGGGAGCCCAGCAGGAGTGGGGGGAGCCCAGCAGGAGTGGGGGGAGGGGGAGCCCAGCAGGAGTGGGGGAGCCAGCAGGAGTGGGGGGAGCCCAGCAGGAGTGGGGGGGAGCCCAGCAGGAGTGGGGGGAGCCCAGCAGGAGTGGGGGGAGCCCAGCAGGAGTGGGGGGAGCCCAGCAGGAGTGGGGGGGAGCAGGAGTGGGGGGAGCCCAGCAGGAGTGGGGGGAGCCAGCAGGAGTGGGGGAGCCCAGCAGGAGTGGGGGGAGCCCAGCAGGAGTGGGGGGAGCCAGCAGGAGGGGGGAGCCAGCAGGAGTGGGGGGAGCCCAGCAGGAGTGGGGGGAGCCCAGCAGGAGTGGGGGGAGCCCAGCAGGAGTGGGGGAGCCAGCAGGAGTGGGGGGAGCCCAGCAGAGTGGGGGGGCCCAGCAGGAGTGGGGGGAGCCCAGCAGGAGTGGGGGGAGCCCAGCAGGAGTGGGGGGGAGCCAGCAGGAGTGGGGGGGGCCCAGCAGGAGTGGGGGGAGCCCAGCAGGAGTGGGGGGAGCCCAGCAGGAGTGGGGGGAGAGTGAAATTGTGCCGTTCGACTGAAAGGCAAGGCCATAGCAGGGCAATAGCGGGGGAAAAAGGGGAGCAATTGGGGAGGCAATAGGCGGGCAACAGCTGGTCATTTGGGGGGAACTAGGGGGGAAGTAGGGGGGCAGTAGGGGGGCAATAGGGGGCAATAGGGGGGCAGTAGGGGGGCAGTAGGGGGGCAGTAGGGGGGCAGTAGGGGGGCAGTAGGGGGGCAGTAGGGGGGCAGTAGGGGGGCAGTAGGGGGACAGTAGGGGGGGCAATAGTGGGGCAACAGGGGGGCGATAGGGGGCCAAGGGTTGAGCTTCCCTGGCAAACTTACCATGTAGCGCTCGACAGCGGGCAGCTCCTGGCAGCTGCAGTTGGTGATGACGTAGAGGTCGGAGCGGCAGGGGATCAGCCACTCGCCTGGAGGGGGGGAGGGGTGGGTTGTAAAGAGAGAGGCGGGGGAACAAAGAATCAGGGGAATGAGGAGGGGGGGAGGGAAAGAGGCTGGCAGCTTCTGGCAGGTGGAGTTGGTGACGACGTACAGGTCCGAGGGGCAGGGCAGGGGTTGAGACACTCGCCTGGGGAGGGGGGAGAGTGCGGAGACGCAACTGAACACCCAACAGCTCTTGGCTGCTGCAGTTGGGTACAACGCCGAGGCCCGAGGGGCAGGGGTGGCGGCGCTCACCTTTCTCCTCCCCGCCAAAGTCGAGGTCAAGGGCGTTCTTGAGCGACGAGAAGAAGCCACCGCCACCACCGCTGCTCTGCTGACTTTGGCTGGCCACCCCTGTCTCGCCCCCTGCTGCCACTGGGTCGTCCTCCAAGCAACCCAGAGAGACGCCGTCAGTCTGAAAGGGTCAGGAATGACAGAGATGGAGGAGATAGGTTGACATAGGTTCCTGTCACTGCAAGGACCGATTGACGCGATACCACTGCATTGACTCGGTTGACCTTGGTTGACCGCCCCTACTGCCATAGGCTCGCCCTCGAGACAGCTCACTGACACTGCGGGAGTCTGACACTGGGAGGAAGGCAAATTAGTGGAAGCCAAAGTGAATGGAAGGCGTTAAGCTAACTGCTCCACCCAACGACTCTGTTTGACTGGCCTACCACCACTGGTTTGTGCACTAGACAGCGGTGCGACAATTCAAGAGTGTAAGCGAAGAGGAGATAAGATCAGAGAAGTGGACAGTGCACGGAAGAGCAAGGGCTTCGTTCACGCTGTTGAATCCGTTGACTGCTCCCGATGACCGTATTTAAAAAGAGAGTGCTTTTCAGCAAAGAAAGAAAGAAAAAAGCTGTGACCTACTACGCTACCAGCAGTGCCACTTCATCTCACCGTATCGTTTCACCTCAACATGCCTTCTTATCTCGCCATTTCATCTCATCTCACCATGTCAAATGCAGCCTTGAACCGACGAGAGCAGCGACGTTTCTCAGGCCCGTCTGGCAGCACCTGGGGAGAGAGGACGAGAGGGGGGGAGGGGATCCAAGCAGGCAGACGGAAGGGAGGAGGGAGGGAAGAGATGGAGACAGGAGAGGGGAGGGGACACGGGGGGGGGGAGGAGGAGAGGGAAGTTTGAGGAGTGGGATAACGCGGAGAGCCAAGAGGGAGCATCAGGAAGCGGGGAGATGACAAGCAGACGGAAGAGCAGCAAGAGAGAAAGGGGAGGCGGGAGGTGAAAGCACATTGGATGGTACTCACAGGGCAGCAGCTTTGAGGGCGGACTTGCCGGCTTGACCGGTGTTGACTCTAAATTTCGGTGTGATTGTCGTTTACTTTCAAGCAACCATGGCATTCCCTCACAACCTCACTAGCCCGCGGCTGAATGTGCTTGTGGAGGGGCACGCGACTCACGATCTTGGCGGTGGTGCCCGTGGCGCCATGCAGCCGGCGGATGAGCGCCAGGGCCAGCTGGATGTTCGCCTCGATGTACTCCTCGGACGAGCCCTGGGGGGGGAGACAAGGGGGACGGAGGGACAGGTAGGGGCAGCGGAGGAGAGAAGGGCAGCGGAGGAGAGAAGGGGAGCGGAGGAGAGAAGGGGAGAGGGGCGCACGAGAGGGGCAGAGGGTGGGCGCGAGGGCGAGCTGGATGTTTGGCCTCGATGTACTCCTCGGACGAGCCCTGGGGGGGTGAGGAGGGGGGATTGAATGCCAGAATTCGTAAAGGCGGGCGAATAAGGGAGTGTGGAATGTTGGCGTCCAATGCTCCCTTAGGAGCGTGGTGGGGGATGGTGTTGAAGGGGATGGTGTTGAAGGGGTGATGCAACCCGAAGGGGTAATGCAACATGGGCAGAGCTCGATTCCATTCCAAGTGTTTGGAGGGGCCGTGCAATGGTGCTTGCAGCGCATTGGATGGGGGGAGAGGAACGGAAGGGATGGGCTGGGAGAGGAGTTGGTGGGAGGAGAGAGAGTAGGGGAGGGGATGGGACCAAGGGTTGGGAAGAGAGAGAGAGAGAGAGAGAGAGAGAGAGAGAGAGAGAGAGAGAGAGAGAGAGAGAGAGAGATAGAGAGAGAGAGAGAGAGAGAGAGAGAGAGAGAGAGAGAGAGAGAGAAGAGAGAGAGAGAGAGAGAGAAGGGGGAGGGGTAGAGGAGTGGCGTTACCTCGTAACCGGCCTTCCCACTTGGGAGCGGACTGAAATCATTGAAGCATGCATGCACGCGCGAGCGCACACAGACACATGCACGCACACGCACACAGACACATGCACGCACACGCACACAGACACATGCACGCACACGCACACAGACACATGCACGCACACGCACACAGACACATGCACGCGCACGCACACAGACACATGCACGAGCAACACATGCACGCGCACGCACACAGACACATGCACGCGCACGCACACAGACACATGCACGCGCACGCACACAGACACATGCACGCGCACGCACACAGACACATGCACCGCGCACGCACACAGACCACATGCACGCGCAGGCACACAGACACATGCACGCGCAGGCACACAGACACATGCACGCGCACGCACACAGACACATGCACGCGCAGGCACACAGACACATGCACGCGCAGGCACACAGACACATGGGGCACGCGCACGGCACACACAGACACATGCACGCGCAGGCACACAGACACATGCACGCGCAGGCACACAGACACACGCGCAGGCACACAGACACATGCACGCGCAGGCACACAGACACATGCACGCGCAGGCACACAAGAACATGCCAGCGCGGCACCACAGACACATGCACGCGCAGGCACACAGACACATGCACGCGCAGGCACACAGACACATGCACGCGCACGCACACAGACACATGCACGCGCAGGCACACAACACATGCACGCGCAGGCACACAGACACATGCACGCGCAGGCACACAGACACATGCACGCGCAGGCACACAGACACATGCACGCGCACAGCACCACAGACACATGCACGCGCGGCACACAGACAGACACATGCACGCGCAGGCAACACA